GTTGCCATAGGCAGCATGCCCTCAACCAATTCTCCATATTTCTGCTCCTAGAAATCTCACCTGTTCCCAGAGGACAATCTGCCACTGAAATTCACTGTAGACATCTTGTTGGTCACTGGCAATCTGATCATAATAAAAGAATTGAGAAAAGTTATCATTTTGGACAACAAATCCCAGAATCCCCTAACTATGCTGGCTTGGGGTTACTGAGACTTGTAGTCCTAAGAATAACTTTCCCAGCTTCTGGGGCTACCTAACAGTGAGTTGGGAAGAAAGGAATATTGGAAACCTGTGTGTGTTTGAGTTTGATCTGTTCATTGCCTGTAAGAATCTTCTATATTACTGTCTAAAGTTGTTTTCCTATTAGTCTGGCCTCTATTTCTTGCAAATGCCATCCTTTGTTCACTCGGGCTGCATCTACACGGTACTGATTATGCACTTTGTCCTGCTGCTCCATCCTATGAAGTTATGGGTTTGTAATTTTACAAGGCCATTCTCTTTCTCTGCCAGAGCATGCTGGTGCCTCACAAAACTACAGTACCCAGGATGCTGTAGGATGGAGCAGTTAGTGGTGTCAAACTGCATTATTTCTATAGTGTAGGTGTTGCCTTATTACTGATTATCCCGACAACCGTGATCATATCATAGAATCAAATGTTTCCTCTTTTGTACACTACTGGTTCCCCTCCATAGTTGACTTGTGATGATAGATAGGTGGAAAGCCTACTAGCCAAAATATAAATGCAGTGCCAATCTGGGTGGTGTAATGCTTTGAATGTTGGATTAGGACTCTGGAGACCAGGGTTTGAATCCCGGCTCAGCCACAAAAAACCACATACTCCATACTTTCCAGCTGCTCAAATTCTCTGTCCTCCCACTTTTTCAACTGTTTTTTAAATGTCCCAGTTTCCATCTCCTTCCCCCCCACTTTCCCCCTTTGTCCTCAGCTTATGTCACTTGCTGCAAACTGAGCTCAAAGTGCAAAAGTAGTTTGCACTCAGTTAATTTATCAGGTTGGGGACAGAGGAGAGGAGGGGGGAGGATAGATAGGTGGAAAGCCTACTAGCCAAAATATAAATGCAGTGCCAATCTGGGTGGTGTAGTGCTTTGAATGTTGGATTAGGACTCTGGAGACCAAGGTACGAATCTCTGCTCAGCCACGAAAAGCCACTGGGTGACCTTGGGCAAGTCATACTCTCTCAGCCTCAGAGGGTGGCAATGGTAAACCCCCCCTGAACTGGTTGAACAGGTTGGTTTCTGTGGCTTCTTAGGTCTCCTGTGCTTCCCCTCCTCAGGTCCTGCCAGTGTTAACACTTCCTTCATTATAGTAGATAAGTGTTTAGTGATTGAAAGGATAGGTTCCCATTTACCTATAGAATGGCCTCTGTTATAAGCAGCCCATTTCTATTGCAGAGAGGGGACAGAATATTGCCTGTTTGCCTTGCATGAAAATTCAAAAGAAACCTCCCTCCCTCGCTGGCTCTTTGCAGGTCCAGGAATGGGGGCTATCAAGAGAAGCTATTTATCACTAATCTAATTGTCCAGTCATGATCAAAGTAAGCAATAAAATGGGACAGAACTTGCCAACAGGAACATTCTAATTAACATTTGAAAAGGAGCTTTGCTGAATGAAACTTACTTGGGAGTACACCTTGGAAAGCCAATTTCAAATATACTCAGGGAAAACATTGAGTGGAATCTCATGGTTAGTCATCCTGAAAGTGTGAGTGTGTGTGGGGGGGGGTATTCAAAAAGAATTGGAAGAAGCTGTCAGTGGAATAATGAAGGGCACAACTGCAGAATATCCCTGTGAAGAAAGTAAAAGAGAGTATAGATTTCAATAAGGTGGTATGGATGCATGGATAGTGCAGTGGTTTGAATGTTGGGCTATGACTGTGGAGACCAGGGTTTGAAGCCCTGCTTGGCAATGGAACCCCACTGGATGACCTTGGGCAAGTCACACTGTCTCAGCTTTAGAGGATGGTAATAAGAAACCCACTCTTAAGAAACTTGCCAAGAAAACCCTATGATAGGGTCGCCATAAGTCAGAAATGATTTGTAAACACACAGCAACTACCAGATGGATGCATAGGGCTACCACTAGAGAGGGTCGGATAAAGAAGATGGAAGAAGGGATATATAACCAATGAAAATGTACTACAACTGTAGTTCTCAAACTTTGGTACTTTGACTACAACTCCTAGAAGTCCCAGCCAATGGTCAGAGATACTGAGAGCCAAGATCCAAAGCAACTGGAGGACCAGATATCGAGAAACATTGTACTAGAGCCATCCAACTATGTACGGATGGTGTCAAGAAGGTGAGGTTCAGAATGGGTGGAAACTTATGAGAGTTGCTAAAGCCAAACCCCAAAAGAGACATCTTTGGCTAAGTTAGGAATCAGATGAGTTCAGGTCTCAAGGGCAAGATGAATGACATCCCTGGCTGCTGAAGGAGATTAGAAACATTATTTCAGAGTTATTGTTACAGAGTTAAAGTCTGTAATTATTGAGGATTCCTCGAAAAGAGGTAAGGTGTTAGAAGACTGGAGAAGGACACATGTTGTTCCCATCTTCAAGTAAGAGAGAAAGGTGGATTGAGCAAGATACAGAGATGTTGTCTGGATGTCAGTACCAGGCAAAATTATAAAACAATCCATCTGCTCATATCTAGAAAAATGAGGCATTGAAATTTCACCCCCTCTGCATGACTCATGCCACATTTGGAGTCCTGTGCCCAGTTTTGGGAGCATCCTTTTAGGAAGGACATTGACAAATTAGTGTACATTCAAAGATGAGCAGCTGAGATAGTAAGAGGGCTGGTAAGCAGGTGCTCTGTGGAATGGTTGAAGGAGCTGGGTATGTTTAGGGGAAGAGAAGATAAAGAGGAAATAGGATCTTAAGGATAGTCATGTGAAAGATTCCTACAGCCATCAGTGGCATCAATAGGGTTGATGTCGCCCAGTGTGATAATTCTTGGAGTCACCTTGCCTTTGACCTCCTCCCATACCACACCATACAAAATCCTTAATAATTTTTTTTTGACAAATGAAGCTGCTATCATAAATCATAATTCCTGTATATCACTGAATGTAACGGGAATAGTTGTGATATAAAAATTATTGTCCTTTTTATTGAACCATGTCTTCTCATGATCATCATGATAGCAAAAGACAGACAAAGTATGACAGTCTCAAATTAGTCATCTTGCCTTCTAAGGAGATTTCAGACTCAGTTTGCTTCAGGGCTATTTTTTTTTTTTTTTTTTGTCTTTTTAGCAGTCCAAGGTATTGGTAGAATTCTCCCTCAGCACTGCATTTCAAATGAGTTGATTTTCTTCCTGTCAGCTTTCTTCACTGTCCAGCTCTCACAGCCATACATAGAAACTAGAAAGACTATGACCTGGATGATTCTGACTGGTATTTAATGAAATAACATAATGGAGAACTTGTTGTTGTTAACAGCCATCAAGTCAACTTCAACCTATGGCAACCCTATGACTGAGAAATCTCTAAGTTACCTTATTCTCCACCGACTTGCTCAGGTCTTGCAGACTTAGGGCCGTCATTTCCTTGATTGAGTCTCTCTATTTGGAATGATGTCTTCCTCTTTTCCTACTGCCTTCTATCTATCTATAATTGAATCTTAACTTTTTCTAATTTTTGAAAAGCAACATGTGATTTTTATATATTCATTTTTTTCCACAAGCTGCCTTGGTTCCCACACTTGGGGAAAAGGCAGGATATAAAGAAAGTGATTGTAATGGATTGCACTGGTTTAGTTGCCCAATGTTGCCATTCAACACAAGATTTATGTAGCACAATAAATGCAAATCTCTGTACACAGAGATTTACATTATGCAATACAATGCAGGATCTCAATAACAGATTTCCCCCCTCCCCTCCCTCCCCTTTAAATTGGGGATGGGGGTGAGGTGGTGACACCAAACAGCTTCTTTCTCCTCCACACCAACTAGGAAGAATATAAGGCAAATTCTTTGAATAGTCTTTGCAAATGATTGAGTTTGACTTGGGTTGTGTGTATGTTTTGTTGTTGTTGTTGTTAGTTGCCCTCAAGTTGATCTTGACTCATGGTGATGAAACATCTCCTGTGGATGAGACATCTCCAAGCCTCGCTACCCTCCATTGCTCTGCTCAGGTTCTGCAAATTCAGTCCCGTGACCTCCCTGATTGAATCTATTCATTGGATATGCAGTCTTCCTCTTTCTGCTGCCTTCCACCTTTCCTCGCATTATTATCTTTTCCAGTGATTTATGCCTTCTCGTGATGTGGCCAAAGTACAACAGCCTCAGTTTAATAATCTTGGCTTCCAGGGAGAGTTTGGGCTTGATCGGTTCTAGGACCCATTTGTTTATCTTTTTGGTGTCCATAGTATCCTCAGCACTCTTTTCCAGCACCACATCTCAAATGAATTGATTTTCTTCTTATCCACTTTCTTCTTATCCACTTTCTTCACTGTCCACCTCTCACATTCATACATGGTGATGGGGAATACAATAGATTGGACAATTCTGACTTTAGTGTTCTGTTGTATATCTTTCCACTATGTGTGTATGCATACCTGCCAACATTTCACAGATGAAATTGAGAACAGGTATGTGTGTATGCATACCTGCCAACATTTCACAGATGAAATTGTCAGGCAACATCAGAATATGGTAAAGATGGCAAAAATTATTCATGAGGAAAAACATACAAGCTAGGAGAGACTTCAGCACTTTATTTTTGTTTGTGCCTCCTGGGAAGGGAAAAAATTCCCTGCCATCCTCCCCCCTCCTCTCCTCTGTTCCCAACCTGCTAAATTAACTGAGTGCAAACTACTTTTGCACTTTGAGCTCAGTTTGCAGCAAGTGATGTAAGCTGAGGACAAAGGGGGAAAGTGGGGGAAAGAGATGGAAACTGGGACATTTAAAGAGCAGTTGAGAAAGTGGGAGGACAGAGAATTTGAGCAGCTGGAAAATATGGAGTATGTGGTTTTTCGTGGCTGAGCCGGGATTCGAACCCTGGTCTCCAGAGTCCTAATCCAACATTCAAAGCATTATACCACCCAGATTGGCACTGCATTATATTTTGGCTAGTAGGCTTTCCACCTATCTATCATCACAAGTCAACTATGGAGGGGAACCAGTAGTGTACAAAAGAGGAAACATTTGATTCTATGATACGATCACGGTTGTCGGGATAATCAATAATAAGGCAACACCTACACTATAGAAATAATGCAGTTTGACACCAGGAACTGCTCCATCCTACAGCATCCTGGGTACTGTGTTGATTTAGGGCAACTCCATGAATTCCACAGGGTTTTCTTAGGCAAAGAATACTCCGAGGTGGTTTGCCCCTGTTATCCTCTAAAATATAATCTACAGCACCTGGTCTTCCTTGGTAGTCCCCCATCCAAATCCTAACCAGCTTGACCCTGTTTAACTGCCAAGATCAGGCAAAATCTGGAGCCTTCAGGGTATCTGGAGCCAGATTATTCACCATTAAATGTCAGGCAATATGAAACCTGGAGGCAGGTGTGTGTGTGTGTGCTTGTGTAAGAGCCAGAGTAAGAAATTCTACATAATCAAAGCACATGTTTACATTACCAGCACAGGGAGCAGCGTGACAGGGAGAACAAGGAGGAGAGCCAGAGAACGACAAAAGAGGTGATCAGAGCTTGTGTGGAGTAGAAAGAGATTGAGAATTAAAAGAGAGGGAGGGAGGTGGTACAGCGGAGGGTAGGAGTTGTGCTCTTGTGCTATGCACAGCCGTGCATTCCCATTTTCCCCAGTGAGAGGCCTTTTCTTTTCTCCTCTTTGTGCAACCCTTGGCTTCTGTTGCTTTTGAAGACCCAGCGAAACAAACCCTCCTTCTTGTGGGTGGGTGCCCTATCCAAAGCCTCTTGGCAAAGGCCTCCTTGGCAGCTTCCCCCATCATCTCCCCACACATGCCACTCAACCCCAAAATCATGGGGGAGTCGACGCAGCCTTTTCTTCCACTCTGCTGCTCTTTCGCTTTTTATACTTGTCGCTGCACTGCATCCCTGCCACAGCGTTAGGAATCCTGTTTCCCCTAGCAATCAGTCCCACGGGGGCTTTTGTGTGGCTATAATGTGTGAGCCAGGTTGTTCTCTTTATCACTCATTGCCTGTTGGGTAGAAAATGACTGGTTTGCTGAAGATGTGGCGGTGTTTTGTGTGTGCTCTGTCTTTTTCTCTTCCCTAACAAGGGCAGTCCTTGATGCAATGGTGCCGGGAGAGTTAAACTCATATAAGAAATCCTCTATGAGTGCGCACACACACACACATACACACATACACACACACAAAACCATTCCATGTTCATGTATCCTTCAATATTTCACAGATGAAAACTGAGACTCGTCGTGTGCCTTCCAGTCGTTTCCGACTTATGGCAAACCTATCATGGGGTTTTCTTGCCATGTTTTGTTCAGAGGTTTGCTTTTGCCTTCCCCTGAGGCTGAGAGCATGTGACTTGCCCAAGGTCGCTCAGTGGGGTTTCATGGCTGAGCTGGGAATCAAAACCTGGTCTCCAGAGCCGTAGTCCGACACTCAAACCACTACACCATAGTGGCTAAAAAATCTAGGACCCAAACAGCAACAGACTGTGATCAGGATAGGAGAACTGTTACTGAGGAAGAACAACCAAGCTAGGAGAGGTTGCAACAGTTTGCTTTTGCCTGAGCCTACAGGGAAGGGCAGGATTCTGCCCCTTCTGCTTCCTTTCTGCCCTACTGAGTTACTTGAGTGCAAACTGCTTTTGCACTTTGAATTCAGTTTGCAGCAAATAAATTAATCTGAGGAAAAAGGGGGAAGTGAGAGGAGGAGAGAAAAAGTATTAATCAAGTCTGTCCCTGCCAAATAGGGACAGTTGGAGGGTAGGCGCTCGGACCGTCTCTGGTCTCCCTTTTGCAGCCTGCAAGCATATTTTTCTTCGCTCTTCCTCTGTGCGTAACCTTTCCTTCCCACAGAGGGTATAGAAAAACACACATTCCTGCTCCCATTGATTACTTCTTCCTCTTTTTAGCATCCCCCGATGGAAGAGAGGAACCAGTTATGCTGACTCCTTCTCCCTTTTGCCAAAGCTTTCTGCTCAGTCTGTCACTTTCCCAGTCTGACTGAGCGTTCGTGTAAGGATGTTCCGTTCAGTTGCCACTGGCCCCATGGAGGACGTGACTTTTACTCCTGCTAGTTATTTGGCTGAGGCTTCAATTTTCTATCTTGCCAGTTGGGCTTGTGCCATTCCATCAGAGCTTGGAAAAAATTACCTTTTTAGACCACGAGTGCATCTACACCATAGAGGTAATGTAGTTTAACACTACTTTAACTGACATTGCTCCATCCTACAGAATCCTGGGATTTGTAGTTTGGTGAGGCACCAGGGTTCTTTGGCAGAGAAGGCTAAAGGCCTTGCAAAACTACAAATCCCAGGATGCCATAGGATGGAGCTATAGCACTTACAATGGTGTCAAATTGCATTACAGTGGTCCCTCCGCTTTTGCTCAGGTTAGGGTTAAAGGAGCTGCATGAATGTGGAAAAACTACAAATAAAACAACATTATTCTTTTTACCTAAGAGAACACCTCTCTAGGGATTTCCAGACCCTCCAGTGCAATTCTATGGTCAGCATCTGCCAGTGGTTGATGATAGAATCATGCTGGAGGACCTGCAAATGCCTAGAGAAGTGTTTTCCCTAGGAACTCCTAGGTTCTCCAGCACAACTCTATGGTCAACTTCTGGCAGAGATGCACTGGAGGACCTAGGGCAGGGGTAGGCAACCTAAGGCCCGGGGGCCGGATACGGCCCCACAAGGCCTTTGGACTGGCCCCAGGCCACTCCTGCCACCACCGCCGCCGCCCCCCCCACCACTGCCGCCCACCATGATGATATTGATTATTGTTGTTATTACTTGTTCTTGGGGTTTTCTTGGCAAAATCTCCACAGTGGTTTTGCCATGGCTTTTCTAGGGCTGAGAGAGTGTGCATGCATATTTTTTTAAATTTTTTAAAAATTTATTTATTTATTTATTTATTTATGGTGCTTTGGCCCCCCAATTGTCTGAGGCACAGCAACCAGGCCCCCGGCTCAAAAAGGTTGCCTACCCCTGACCTAGGGTTTCCTAGAGAGAACATATTAATAAAACCCGCAAATAATCAAGTCCGCAAATGTGGAGGGCCAACTGTGTTTCTACCATGTAGACACACTTTATGTCTCCCCAAATTTTTCCGAAAGGATTCTGGGAAGTGTAGCTCAAAGAATTATTTTTCTAAGCTCTGGTCAGCATGGTGGCTAAGAACCTTATTCAGATGTGAACTTTGTGATATGGGAGGCATTGGCCCACTTCCTATTCCATAAAAGAGAAGTGAAGGATCTTTGGTCTCTTGAGGGTTTGGCCAACAATCTCCATGAGCGCCACACAACAACACAGAAAATGATTGTGGTAGGTGTAGTTTTCTGTGTAGTAACAGCATTCCTGTGCAGAAAATGCCATTTTCTATACAGAAAAAAGTCTAGTTTTGGTGCTTTAAAGCATACAATAAGTCCATTGCTCTGTCTATTAGTCTCTGGAGCAGCAGAAAACAATGTTGCTCCATCCAATATGATATAATTTCAAATATTTAAACATGGCCTTCATATCACCTCTTAACTTTCTTAATCGTCTCTTCTCCAGGCTAAACATACTCAGTTTCCAAAGTTGTTCCTCATAGGGATTCATGGTTTCCAGACCCTTCACCATTTTAGTCACCTCCTCTGGACACACTCCAGTTTTTCAACATCCTTTTTGAAGCCCAGAACAATTCAACCAAAGCAGAATAGAGTGGCACTATTACTTCCCTTGATCTAGATCAGGGACAGGCAACCTTTTGGAGACCTGGGCCAGTCTCCCGTAGCCCAGGTCTCGGCTGGGCCGAGGGGAGGGGGGGAATGGCGGCGCACGTGCCCCCCACCGCGTGCGCCCCCCCGCACATGCGGCCGGCGCTGCCGCTACCGCAGCCGCCGCCGTAGCGTGCGCTGCCGCAGCTGCCACAACACATGTCGCGGCCGCCATTTTGGTAGTCGAAATCGCAGCCGCGACGCATGCGCAAATGTGGCGCGGCCACCATTTTGACTTCCAAAATAGAAGCCACAGCGAGCGCGACCGAAAACGCGCCCCGACAATAGTGCGCGGAGGCGGCAGCAACCTTTGGTCTGGGCCGGTAAGTCCAGGGCCAGGGGCCTTTACCGGCCCCCGGGCCGTAGGTTGTTGGTCCCTGATCTAGATACTATACCTCTATTGATGCAGCCTAGTAGCTGCTGCATCACATTGTTGACTCATGTTTAGCCATACCCCCTTCTTTATAACAGCATTGTTTGCTGGTTTCTAACTTTTCCATTGTTGTTGCCCCCTTCTAAAAGGTAAAAGTAACTCTCCTAAGACTTACCTAGACTGTCAATCTACTAGTGACACTCCCTAAGGTACCCAACACAACAGGAGGCTTACACTGTAACTACTTAGAAATGGGAGAGAAAACTAACTAATAGGTATACTACAAATCACTAAATACTATTACAATTGGATACAACACAACTGAGCCATATCTTATAGAATCTATATATATGGAGACTAATAAATACAACAACAATTGAAAAATAGAACAACTATTAAAAAATAATGACCAAAACCATGCAAGGATGTGCAGTACTACAAAAGATAATTCTTCTATTTAATCCAAAATTGATAAATGTGAGACGATTGTCCCAATAATGTCAGTTCAATAACCAGTCTGACAACAATAACAGTGTCCAGATAATACACCATAAATCCACTAGAACAAGAATTTGCTGAGTTTGTTTTTCAGTGAATAAACTTGCGGAAGATTTTGCTGTGTGGTTCTTCAAAGTTGTAATAACATAAGGTGGTAGCATGTAGCAAGTATTTGCAGCAATGAAAACATAGTATTCCTGATTGGTAGCAAAACTTTTTTTGAGTTAAAGTCTTCCAAACTTGTAATAAATCAGGGTAATGACATGTAGAAAGCAATAGAAGCAATGGAAGCATTGATATACCA